GCTGGCCCGGGGCGGCAGCGGCAGTGGCAGTGGCAGTGGCAGTGGCACACGTCTCTTTTGCTGTGGTTGCGCGCCGGTTGTTGTCGCATGTCGTGTAGGCCGTAGACATGTCTTGAGGCGTAGAGCGGCACTGGCACTGGCACTGGCACTGTGCATGCCATTGCGTCTGGTGCCCGCCATGATGATGTCATGTTGTTGGTGTTGGCCCTTTGCGTCTGGTCGTGGTCGCGCCTGCCCTGGCCGTCCGTCTTTTTGGCAGGGCGCTTGGTCCAAGCGTGCTCAAACACACACACAATCACAATCTGCAATCACAGCAAGTGGATCGTCAACAAGACGCCCCGCTTGTTTGAAATTCTCCACTAGTGCTACCACTACTGTAGGGCCGCACGCTTCACTCGCACTCGCACTCGCTCCTGCCCACAGCACCGACACTAGGGCGGGCTGGCTTGGCCTGGCCACCGTGTTGCCCGCTGCCTCTTTCTTGTTCTCCAGGCGCGGCCAACGTCACCGCCTTGCTGCTTGCTTTGGCCTGCGCACATCAGCCTCGATGCTGACTTCTCGGCCCTCTCGGCCCTCTCGCTTCTCGCTGTAGCTAGCTCTACACCTATACCTAGTGCTAGCACCCTCCGCCCTCCTCCGTGTCACTGCCCCGTGTCACTGCTCCGCGTCCACGACACCGGACCTGCCATGGCCCGAACACCGAGTCAGCGCGGATAGCTATCAGCAGCGTTGTAATCCATCCACCTGGCACAGTGCCCATGCTAGCCCCGGCGCCAAACAATGGCTCTTGCACGACCCCAAATGCTCCCCATCACCCACATACACTACACATACTGCATACATACATACATACATACAACCCCTCTCCTCGCACTCGTCGTATTACTACCTGACGTCTGCACTGCATCGTCATCCCCCCCCCCCCATTGCTCAAGACTACACGGTGACCAAGCACATCTAGACCTCTGTGCCTGCATGACTGTGCATAATCCCGCCATGATGATTACCTGCCATTGATTGACCTGTCCAGCCCACAATATGTCAACTATCACTACCTGCTACTAGTCACCTGCTTACCTACTTGCTCACACTACACATTCATGACGTGACCAACGCACGCAAATATACCCAAAAATAAAATGATCCCACAATGTTTACTCACTCCATGTCTATGATCGCACAAGATGGGCAACATTCAACATGTGTACCCACTCTCGGAAGTCTGCATGCAAAAAAGCCCATCTTTTGGTCGCACAGGTCAGCCATACTCACTGCCCTGCGCAAACGCAAAAAAGAAATGTACACCTTCCGGTACCGGGAGTCGAACCCGGCTCTCGTCGGGCGCTGACATTAGAAATGAAAGCGACGGATGCTAGCCGATACACCATACCGGATGTTTGATGAAAATCTGGATTAAAAGTTGCAATATATCTCGTTGACCCATTGTATACATGAGAATTCGCGCTCAAAACCCCACACCCCCGCATTCCAGGCGTCCTGCATCACTAGGTGTAGCATGTGTGCCTGCAGTTTTGGTTTGGCAGGGAGCGTGTTTTGAGAAAACCAAGAGAGGAAATGCGCATGTATGCTTTGGTGCAGGGGTTGCTCTGTCAAAGTTCAGGCCCTTTCACTTTCGTCCGCAGCCAAACCTTTTTGCCACACTGTCTCACGGGAGGGTCTCGCCATGCGTGATCACGCCAACGCGCAGCTTTTCGAAGCCACAAAACACAGCCTGGCACAAGACAGGCACAAGACAATTTACTTACTCCCAGCGTGGCGCAACCCTTCTCTCTCTTTTTTTTTTGGCCCGCCACCCGCTGATGCTGCGCAAAGCTGTTGTCCCTCCGCCGCACAGCTTGCGACACCGATACTTGGCCAAGGCTTCCGGTCAAAAAAACAAACAACAACAAGAACAACAAGGGGGGGGGGGCGAGAGCTTACTCCATGGCATAGCCGCGCGCCAGGACCTCTACCAAGACGAGCATCTCTGGCGCGGAAGCCTCGGTATCATCTCATCTGGGTGCAATCTCCGTGCAAAGGGGCTGTGCAGTGCCAGCAGGGCAAAGAAAAACAAGACAATTGCGACGGACGCGGTGCTTTGTCGGGGAGGCAGTGGCCACACCAAACACACACACACATGACCGGGGACATGGCTTCTTGGCACGTGGCCAATCTGCGCGACCAACATCTCCCCTCTGCAGTTACACGCCTACCATCAGGCAAGCAGGTCTGACATGTGCTGCTTGCACGGTATGGTATGGACAAGTGACTGCTGAGCCACCTTTTTAGGCAGATGCGCATCGCTCGAGCACGCGGTGCATAGCCATTTTTTTCTTCTTCTCTTTCTCGGCAAGTGCTGGACGGGCATGCAGTTTGCGCCTGGCTTGTTCTCGTTGCATTCTAGCCATGATTTGGAACTAACCAGCAACGGTGAGCGATGGGTCTTGGCACGGACTTGCTCTCTTTCTGCCTGATTCCTTAGATACTCCGTTCGCAGCTCTTGCTCTACACTACATCCACATCGGCTCTCTGGCTTCTGCTTCCTCGAACAAGGTCGTCGCCACTCCTCCGCCGAGTCCGCCAACAAGGCTTGTCTATGCGCCTACCCTGTCGCATCGCTGCCAAGTTCGAACAAATGCTGTTATGACGGAACCGAACGTGCGACACCATGCCCATGGCAATTGGCATCCCTGCCGCACGCGCCCAACAAGAGGGATAGGGCTCTTTGACTTGTGGAGGCGTGTGGGTGTGCAGCCCGGCTGCTGACACGGCCAAGTCTCTTCGGCGCATAGCCAAATCCCACGTTGCTTCGCCATGTTCCGCCGTGACCCGAATGTCACATGGGAGACGCCTTCACCTATCTCTTGGACAGAGCCGGCTTCTTCGCCAATCGTCACACATCACTTTGTCAGTATCCATGAACTTTGCACTTTGGAAACCACCATTACACGCGTCGTTGTTTCACCTTTTATCGACTGATCGGATTGCTTGCCATGTTAGGGCAAGTAAAGAGCACACAGAACTGTACTTCGCACTTTGTACGGGTAGAGTGTGCATGCACTGCCAGTGGCTGCGTGTCACGCGTCGCAATGGCGAGCTCTGCTGTGTTGATTTCACCTTCAAGACCATCTGCTTCCGCCTACTCGTATCATAGCATCATGCCTCAGGCTCACTCTCACTTTCCGGGGCAGGCGAAAGCGACGATCCCGAGCCAAAGGACAAAAACGCCGAAGCTATACCTGGCCTGTTCCTCCTCGGCGCCCGTTGTGCTGGCATACCCGCCGAAATCTCCAGTATTTCCAACAACCCCAGCAGTCTCTCTGCACATGCCTGCATCAATTCCTTGGCCTGTTCCTCCTCCTGTGCATTTCCCTTCCTGCCCTTTACAATGCCCAAGACGCTCCCACGCGCCTCGATACCCGTTTCCATAGCTTTGCGCAGGGCTTTGGTGGGTTCCAGTGCATCTTGCTGCATCATGTACAGAAACATTTGCTCCAGGATAAGAGAGATCTTGGCGTTGACGGCAAAACTCTGCGTCGTTCCTTTGAGCGGAAGAAGCTTCTCTTCAAAATGTTCTTGCGCAGGATAAACGAGGAAGTAGTTGGGTGGCTTGCTGCTGGTCAAAGGACTAAGAAGGTTGGCATTGAAGGCGATTTGCATGTTATCGGGCAATTTCATAGTGGGGAGGAATATCTCGAAGACAATGGCTGGCAACTGGAGCAGATCTTCCAGGATGTTATCGCAGAAGTCAAATAGTCGCGTGAACGAGGTCGGCAGAGCAAGAGCTGCTTGTGCAATCTGACCAATGTTAGTCGTGGGCATGCTCAGGAATGGCGAATACCTACCAAAGCGATGAGACGCTGTCGCAGTTGGATCCCACCATGTCCGCCCAGATACTCGACAGCCTCGTCTATGGTCTGCAGACCCCCGTCGCGTGTATTCGAGGGGTTTTCTGCTAGATCCTCAGAATCCTTGTCCTCGGATGTATCCTGCATCTCATCGTCACTGGCATAGTCCCCAATGTCTCCAGTCTCAAAGTCGACCTCGCCAATCCGCTGGTCTTCGTCCTTGTTCCGCTTCGGCTCGGCAGTCTCATGCTCCCAGATCTCAGGATAGTCTTTGAGCGACTCGGGTGTCCCCGTCGCCAGCAGGGCCTTGACTATGCGGCGCCTCCGTGCGCGATTCGTCGGCGCAAACTCATCGCCAATAATGTAGTGCCAAAGCAGGCTCTCCTGTAACGCCGTCTCCTCGTTGACGCCGTCTTCTTTGCCCTGTCGGGCACAAACATCCCAGTCGGCCTCGAGAAAGTCCAGCATGTTCTCCAGCCACAGCCTCCACCTGCTCCACCGCTTCTTGTGCACCGCTGAACAGTTGAATGCCCATCCCACAATATGCCAAAAGTCATCTGCGCGATACCACAGGCTCTTCTCGTTGGCAGCGTCGCCAGCTAGGCGCTCAATGTCTCCACCGGGCTCGGGCGAGGGGCTGGCGCCACTCCTGTGACCTGGGGCGCGTCTCCTGGTGCGCTCTTCGGGGAACGTAAAGGCCTTACGGATGACAGGGTACGCGGGACTGTCTATTGTGTCGCGCACACATTGCAGGTATCGCAGAGCAGCATCTGCGCCTTTTGTCGTATCCTGCGACTGCGCCTTTGTCGTGAATTTTGGATCCGCGACTACGGACGAAGCAAAGGCAATGTAGGCGGGTGGTGCGAGATAACCGAGATAGGGCTGTGCGGGCGTCGAGATGCTGGTGCCGGCAGCGAGGAGGCTGTGAAGGAGGCCATAGCCGCTGACATCTAGGGAAAATGAGTCAATTCTTCAATGTCTGGTCGTGTCGCATACATTGGCCGGCCTCGAGATAGGCTTTTGCGTGGTTTGCAAGCTCATACGACACTTGCTTGGTCGGCCGCCGTTGCGGACGTCGCGGGCGAGCAGCCACAGCCTCAAGCGCTGGACATGGGGCGCTGTGATCGGCGGCAATCGGCAGGACACGAGAATTTTTGTGCGCAGAAGCTGGTGCTTTAAGTCGCGCCATTGAGGCGATGCGGCGTGTTGAGAAGACGATGTGGGGGGACGCGGGGAGCTCAGACGCGTCGGGTCGCGTGTTCACATGGCCACCACTTTCATGCATGCATAACGAAGGACTACCACGTCAGGAAAAGTCACTGGGAAATTCTTAGGGCAGAGTCACGCATGGCATATTGAACAAGGAAGTAGTCGAGAGTAAGTATTTGTTTGAAAGATAAAAATACTTAACATGACGGACTGTCGTCGTCCAAACCACTCCAGCTATAATACATGTCCCGAGTTCAACCCGTCGCCCCTGGAAAAGCCATAGAGATGACCATTATCCTGATCGCCGTCCATTGTTTCTCGCACAGGCTTGGATTTTGGATGGAAAAGACTTGCAAAGTTTTGCACCATCAGCTTTTTGATGAGGCTGAACAATATGAAAAGAGAGAGCAACTAAACAAGTCACTCTCTTCCAAAGCAGCCATCCACGTCTCTTCGCGTTGCCCATTACTTAATCGATACGCTTCGTAGATGCCGACTTGGTACCCCCAGTAAGATGGCATATGGTAAAAGGTAATGGTCCGAGCAAATGAACCATCCCTGAACTGGATGGGACGAGGAGGTTCTTAGTCGATCGTCACATGGACTGGTTGTGCGACCTTGGCCGCGAGCCTCGCGTCACTCCTTGACCCGCTTCTCGAGAAAATTCTCGGCTTCGTCGTCTTGCCAGACGAATAGATGCTTTGCCTGCGCTTGCACAACATTGTCGTCGTGTCCTTGTTACCGTAATGCCCGATGCAGGTATGCGGTCATGCCATGGAAGATTTTGTGGACACGAATGCCCTCTGTCTCTTTTCTTTGGGCTGAGCGGTGTTATTTTGGCAGATTTCTGCCATTCCCAGAACGACGAAAAGGAATAAGGATATGAAAATGGCCCGCGGGGATCGCACTGCCACCGCCATAAGTATAGGAGATGGAAAAACAGGAAATCAGGAGTGGGATTGAGAAGGAATATAAATGGGCGGAAAGTGTACTCCAGCTACCAGGAAGGAAGATGAAAATGGAAAGAAGTAGAATGTATGAAAATAGTATATCCCCGGTGTACCAAAGATTAGTAAAACAAACACTATTTCAACTCACATTGTTACGTCAATTCAAGCGCGTCATAGATAGAAGTACCAAGTGCCACACGCCGCATGATCAATATCTGTTGTTTGGCTTGATGTACTACTCTCAATGTATTCACATACTGCCATTGAATTTTAAAAGATATCTATGGTTGGATGATGATTAAATTCATATGAAGTGACTGTAGTACATAACAAGATGCAAGTGCAATGAGGATTTCCAAATCATGACAAAAGTGCCAGTTCATTTGTAAAAACGACCTCCATGCATGACTAGATGCCTAGAAAACATTACCCTTGGTCTGCTTGCCCTTCTCCTCCTCCAGCTTCTTGACGTTAATGTTCTTCCAAATAAAGATACATGCGAGGCAGAGCGGCACAAAGCAAGCGCCGGTAATGACCATCTTGCGTTGCACATTACCATATGCACCAACAACGGCATCGCGCTCTGGTGTGCCGTCCAAAAACGACTTTTGAACCTCGATATCGCCAAAGATGGTGCGGTAATCTGCTTTTCTGGACTCGGGAAGACGCATGAGCAGTTGCTCGGGAAGAATGTTGTTCCACATGGCACCAGCAATGGCGAAACCAATGGATGAGCCAAAACTTCCAAAAAGACCGTAGATTGCGTTGACGACGGCCACTTCTTGATGTGTAACAGGCGCCATGACAGCGAGTTGGGCGCAAGTAGTGAAGATTCCCGTACCGAGACCAACAAGCACTTGGGTAAAGGCAAGGACACCGGGGTTGGTGGACGGGCTCCGGAAAGGGATCAGAAGAGCAGTACCAAGCAGCACAATCGGTACACCAGCATACGCGGTCCACTTGAAGTTGCCAGAATACCTGATCCACCATGCAACGATTGGATCGAGAACGGACGAGGTAAGCACAAAGGCATTGAGAATGTATCCAGCGTGCGTAATGCTTTGCCTGTGAACGACAATCAAGTACGAGTAGAAGTAACCGTTCCAGCAAAACACCGACAGGAACATGACTCCGTAGAGAAGACACGAGCCGACAATAGTGCTGTTCTTGAGGTACACCCAGGGCAGGAACTGGACAGGAGCGAACCTGGCTTCCCAGAGGTAAAAGACTGGGAAGAGGACGAGCCCGAGCACGATGCAAGCGATAATGTATGGTGTTTTCCAGCCATTCGGGGCGTAGGACACGAGGGTAAAAGGCAAGACAAACAAACACCACGCGCACATGATGAGTATAATGCCAAAGACTGTGTGTGTCAGCGGAAGCCGTCCCTGGCTCATAGCAACTTACTGTCAAACTGCACAAAGTAGTACCATAGCGATTGAAAAACGTTGCGATTCGACTCTTGCTTCTTGACCAACCCGGCGTTCTTGGCCTTGCGGTACATGAAGATCATGACAACAATGGCCGGAAGACAGCAACCAACAAAGATGATGATGAAGGCGCCAAAAGCCCAGCGCCAGTCGTTCTGGGTGTAGAAAAGGTCTGCGATCTTGGGACCGGCAAACGTGCTAGCGACACGGGGTGTTCCGTAGAGCGTGAGGATGATCATTCGGTTCTTGAGGGTGGTCATATCGGCGGCCATGATGTTGGCAACATACAGCACGCCAATGTGGCCGGCCCAGTACAGAACGTGGCCGGCCATGTATGTCTGCACGTTTTGACACGCGGCCTTCATGGCCATGCCGACGACGACGAGAACCAGCATGACGAAGAAACCCTCTACACGGCCAAAAACATCAATCACTTTGGCGATAAGGAGGGGGACACAGCCACTCAGCGCAGTTGCCATGACACTGGAGACGGTCAACAGTCCGTGTCTGCCAAAGGCCGAGGTGATGAAAGGGTTGAGCGCCGCGTCGATGCCATTTTGCAGGAAAGCAACGAATTCGATGAGATACAAGCTAGCAGATATCAGCACACATTGTTGCAAGGGAACGACAGACATACAAGGTGAACATGGTAACGAGTGTTTTCTTGCTCCAAATCTCGGTGATGGCGCGGACACGTTGCACGCCATTTTGGAAGTTATCCGACTCCACGGACTTGGTTTCTGTGTCGCTGGCCATCTCGTGGACAGCCCCACCACCCCTCTTTTCGATATCCAGGTCATGCGGGGGGCGAGAGACGTCGTCTGCGGGCCGCACCGCATCGGGTGCAGATACTTTCGACATGATCAGGCTGGGCTGCCAAGGGTGTAGAGTCGAAGTGCAGGTGGGTGTCGATCTCAGTACCAGCAGCGGGCATTCTTAAGTATCGTCCAGGCCCACTCCGAGGACCGGACAGGGGAGATGAGCACAGGAACAGCATTGAAAATTTTGCCCTGCGTACCCGTCCGGTGGCTTGGGATCATGTCGCACTGTGCGGGTAGGATGGAGTGCCTAGACAGCGTTAGCAGCGGCTGGATGATCAGATAAGTGCTAGATGATCAGATAAGATCCAATGTGGCTGCGCGCTGATAGCAGCCCCACTGCAAAACTGCATTGCCAAGGCCTTGGCCCGTATCCTGAGTGGCGCCAGACCGCCCGCGTCAACAAATTGAGCAGTGTACGCCGAAGCCTCGATGGAGCGGGAAGAGGAGCGACAAGTCTCGCCCACGCAATGGAGCCGTGTGAGGAAGGGCAGCTGTGTTTCCTATCCATTCACGTGCTTCGTGGATGACAGCCCTCTGCCGTGGTTCCTCGCGTGTCGTGGCGGGCTGGAGTCTCCGCTCGCACTCGCGGCAATGCTTGGCAAAGGCCCGGGCTCTCCAGAATGAGCGCAATATGTCTTCATCCAGTCACGTAAGAGGCCGGGACAGCCGCGGGTGCTCGTGGTTGCAAAGTCGAATGGTGTGATGTGGATGTGGGCGGAATAGCCATTAGCCGCCCCTCATCGCCTCGGCACTAGCGCGTCACCTGACATCTAATCTAATCAGATGATCGGATATGCCTCGGAGGAATCCGGGACGAGGCGAGTCCGCATCATGTTCACAATCACCCATTGTCTCAACATGCGCCCGTCCTTCATTCCCACCACCTGCTTGAAAGCAATCGAGCACTCTCTCGCTGCCACGGGTTTGCATTGTCAATGTCTTTTGAGAGGGTTGCGGTCTGGTCATTGCACGGGTTGCACGTAACTGAGACAACAGCTAAACCATCTATTGCTGACAACATGCTGGAGTTTTTTTCACTAGGTCCTGGGATCTCCTATAAATCAACGGCGCACGGTAAAACGAGGCCTTGAGACATGTCAAAAACGTCGCCAGGCCGCCAAACAAGAGTCAAGTCACGGTACTCTTCAGGCACACTGCGGGCTCTCATTGTGCACTGCCACCAGTAGAATGATTATCTAATCTCGACATGCACACCTTTCTCCGTCTATAAACGAGTTCCATTGCCCCAATCGCGTAACGTTCAGCCACTGTAATCTCTTTGGGGGACGTTCCAAGTTCTTATTAGAGGTGCAGGAAACTCTGGTCAAGGAATGGCCGTAGCAGGCTGTTCGGTTCCATGAATTTGTCTCCAAATGTCGAGTCTTCACCAAAACTCATCATTGCCTGATCGGCTATCTCGGCAATGGATAAACCTTGGATCGCTGGCCATGAAACGTGCTGTCTTATGTAATATACTGCCCGACGCATCCTACGTGAATGTATTGATACTACAATGGCGTTTTCTAGACGCGTTGAGACCATATTTTGGAAGTCAGTTGCTCTTGAATCCAGGCGTTTTACCCCTAAACTAAGCCTATTCACCTAGACGCTGTTACGCGTGGCTTGAATGGGCGTAATTCCGGCCGTAATACGTCCCGTGGGACGCTCTGGCCCTATCTCACTGCCCTGGCTTGGTGCATGCACGACAGCTGCGCAGCAAAAGACTCTCAAGCCCAAAGCTAAGAAAGGGCCTGGAAAACGAAGGCGACAGGGTGGTGGTATGTGGGGATCAGAGACCGTGCCAGCAAAGGGGTCTTACTATAATATCATGTGAAAGGGTGGTTACTATGCGCTAACCACGGGCGACGACTTCACAGGGTCCACAATCTAGACTCCAGACTCCACCCTGAGGTATATCTTAGTCTCATACTTGTCACATCAAGTGCCAAGGCTTTCAGAGTAACAAGTCTCTTAGTGGATTGGTTGATCACGCGGAGTTAATCATACAAATGCACTTGAAAATGCTGGTTATGCCGAGATAGTGCCGGCCGCTCCCTGCTGCCGGATCGCTGCTACCAATAGAGGAGCCGCCGAAGCCTCGCTGACCATGCATACGATCCAGATCCACACTATGTGGCTTGCTCTGTGGCATTTTCCTGGCCCAAAACAGCAGATTGACACGAGCTCAGAGCGAGAAAAAGGCTTCGAAAGATGCTTACGGGCAGGTTGGCCATTGCATGCATGACTTTGCGTTTCAAGCACTGACATGGGCTGGGGAGTTGCGTTTTTGGTTCTCAGGATTGTGTTTCATGCATATTCAACATCGTCGACAAGCTTAACCCTATTCTTGTATCGCCTTCCCATCTAGGTAATGCATTCACCACCAGTCATACAAAACGTGTTCCCAGACCTATGTTTTGTTACATTGGCGCGGAAATCTTACAGATGCGGCCGTACTTCGGGTACAGCCGCAACGCATTCGTCCTTCGCCGGCCTATTTTGAGTAAGGGAGAGAAGGTGCGCTGCCTGGATAACCATGTTTAATTGGATCCGGGCGCCCCGGGAGCAGACCGGTCCCGACAGTGCCCTTGTTGATCTGTGTGACAACATATACCTATGCATGACAAGATGTATACCTGATCAACTTCTTCTCACCGCAACCTCTAGCTGCGTTGGACATATATTACAGCTGGTCTTTTAGTTTATGCCATGTATGCTCCGCACACCAGTAAAAGTGTAGCACGCTATTTTGTCCTAAAATCTCCTTAGCAACAGGGGTTATGCATAAGGCTGAGAAATGCGCCGTGCCCAGATTGGTCATCCGTCGATCAGAACGTACTCCAAAGCCCAAGCTACCCGGAATTACGGCAAGGGACTGCATTGGGACGGAAACAGCTCTCCGTGCTGTTCGATAAATTTACTAAGACTCTGTTTTCATACCTGTCGCCGTCCATCTCAATCACACCATGCATGATCGGCGACGTGGAACCAAACAACCCCTTGGTACTCGCAATACCAGGGCAATAGGCATCTCTGGTGGTGTGATGCTATCGTTCGGCAATTCTTGTCACTTTCACAGCCATCGGGAGGGCCCGTATGTATGGGAACTGGCCGCCTCTTGTTAGGGCTTATATGAGATGGACTCTAGTGGACTGACCTACCTTGGGAAGATGCAGACGTATGACGCGAGATGAATACGGAATATCCCTCGCCTGCGTAGCATCGGCGTTGAAACTCATTTGATGCACGCATCGACATCTGGGATAGTGTCAAAGGAACTGTGTATATAAGACTAAGACATATGCTCTTGAGTATCAATCAGCCCGCTCCTCTTTCAACAATCTCTACTTTATTTTTTATCCAGCAACACATGTTTTCTTTTTCAGCCACAAGCATGTCTACCCTCAGCATGATTCAGAGGCCGATAATGGGCAGGACCCTTTTGCGGGCTCTCCCGCAAGCCACTTCAATTCGGAGGCTGGCAACCTCAGCCGACTATCGAGGCTCCACCATGCCTCCCGGGCACAAAGCTACTGTTGGTAACCTCCAGACCTTTGAGCTTCCCGAGACCCTCAGTGGGAGCCCAGTAGACAGGGCGTTGGGAAGGAGCATGATTGATGCTTGGAAGAGGGATGGTATCCTTCAGATTTCCATGGATCCCATCAACCGCAAGCTCGCCGATGCAGCCTTCCTGTGCAGCAAAAAGTTCTTCAACCTCGACTACAAGAAGAAGTCAGCTTGCTTGGACGACCAGTCTTTTGCCGGATACATTGCTTCGGGAGAAGAACTTACAGACAACATTGCAGATTACAGCGAAATCTTCACCGTCACCAAGGATCTTGCGCTGTCTGATCCGCGTGTCCAGCAAAAGTGGCCGTGCCATGGGCCCTGCCCTTGGCCTTTTACTCAGATGAAGACTGTTATGCAAGCATACATGGACTACCTGGGCGAGAGCGGCGAGAAGATGCTGCAACTGATTGCTTGGGGTCTTGGTCTCAACGACGGCAATGCCCTGATCAAGTACACGCAGGATGGCTGGCACCACATGCGCATTCTACGCTTCCCCGCGGCCAACAACGTCAACGGAAAAGGCAAGGCCGGCCGCGGCATCGGTTCTCACACCGATTATGGACTACTGGTCATTGCTGCCCAAGACGACGTTGGCGGTCTCTTCATCCGCCCTCCGATCGAGGGCGAGACGTACGCCAACTGGAAAGAGAGCGCAGCCGGCAAGCACGAGGATGCTGATGGCTGGGTCTACGTTCCTCCTGTTCCCGACGTCTTTACCGTCTTCCCCGTAAGTTACTTCACGTCCATTTCTTTTGCAGCATAGTCCTTCTAACCAAAGTCCCAGGGTGACATGATGCAATACATCACCAACTCATATCTCCCGTCGACGCCCCACAAGGTTGGCCTCAACACGCGGGAGCGGTTTGCCTTTGCCTACTTCCACGAGCCCAACTTCTCGTCAGTTATGAAACCGCTCCCAGGCTTCGAGGCCGGTCAGGAGCCCGTTGACGGTATCCACTATGGTACCCACTTCACCAACATGTTTATGCGGAATTATCCGAAGAGGATTACCGCTGACCGTATGAGGGCTGAGGGAAGGATGGCCCTGTTGGACTCGCCTGGCCTCCGCTGGAAGGACATGCCAGCTACAGATAGCAGTGGCTTAGTCGGCGCTATTCCAGCCACCTCTTCCGAGGCGGGTAGACTAGACACCAAGTACATATAATTCAACCACTATAGCGTTTGACACAAGTCCAGTCACCTGAGTCTTGTGAATTTTATGGTGAGTACACTAACAGGGTCCTGGGCTGCACCCTCCCATGTGTTTGCTAGGCTGAAGCGTGAGTGCGTACACGTCTTGGTACTGAGCCCATGTAAAGTCTACAAGTCGTCATCAACCAAACTATTATCTTGCGCCGCCCCGCGCCATACATCCCTGTAATATGTTTGAGCCACTCGCCACCGTTATCCATAACCATCTAGCGGTTTTACTCTGGCGTACATATGATTTTAAGGAGTTCACTTCCAACACCACTCCAAAACGCTTGCAGCGCCCGGATCATGGCGTCTCGCCGGCAGTTGCCCGCTGAATTATCCCAGCCATAAGCGCCTGAAATACGAGGCATTCCCACCCTTTCTAGACCAAGCAACGGCTCTGCCGTCAAGCGCCCGTCAAGCGGCTTGCTGACTTCCACATGTGTCCCCGCTCACCGCAAAGTGGTCCTTGTCTACTTTTCTGAAAAAAAATCTGTCCACGTTATTACCGAGCTCAAGATGTATTTCCCGTGGTATTGACAGTCGGCTCTTGCCATGCGCTCGACGTCCGTGGACAAGACATTACTTGGTCTCGACTAAAACTGCAGTTCGACTACCTACCCACGGCAGGCTCCACATGGAGGTAGATGAGGGGTTCAAGAGTTCGGCGGTCAGGAGCCGGGGTACCCCGGTGAGATAATCATCATTGGGTGCTGAGTCTGTCGGCAGTTGCAGCAGACATCCTGGCAGAGCAAATCGGGGTTTGGGAAGGCTGCAGGCTCTCAATGCAATACAACGCAACTAGTAGCGTCAATAAGCAAACCCGAGGATAGCTGAAGGCGCTGGACTTCGCTTGTGCTGTAGGCGCAGCAGGTGCACAAGGATGAGCAGATCGCGATTTCAGGGGTTCCCGGGCGGATGGCAGACGAAGAGAATATATGACAGGGGATCGCGGATCGGCATCTCAGGGGACTTCTGTAAGGGCAAAAGATCTTACATATGATGTACATTTGTATCCATGTATAAGTTGATCATAATGATTATAGACTACCTTGTTATAAGTACAGCAGAAGTTGACAAGAACATCCATCCTCAATCAAGTCTTCTTTCTCCATGTTCATTCTCGAATTTGAACGGCCTTCACACTGATCGTACGATAGGGAAACTTATACGAAGGAGTGCGTGCATTAGCGCCTTTGATCCGCAACGGTGGCAGCTTAGTAGCACCACTTTCTAGTGATACCGAGCTCTACAAGCAAAGTGAATCACGCTGTTCGTCGCTAAAATCACGTGGCCAATACCGCCAGAAAAACCCTGGGGCGTACAAGCATAGTGGCGAGATACGAAGCAGCCACTAGGTCGGGAAGAGAGACATGTAGGAAACTGTAGCGGATAAATAACAGTTATGAACGGTACTGCTTGTCACGTTTAGGCGAGCCGCGTTATATATCAGTAAGATATCATTAACTACTCTGAGATATCTCCTCGGCCTCACGATACCGCGCTATTCCATGCAAGGTCATGTATCACACAACACTAGAATGCTCGTGCTCTCTTCAACGCACGAGTATATGAATCTCAACAAGCAGACACGGACAATGGGCGTGACTCGTCATTCTTCCGTCTCGTCGTCATCATAATTCTCGTCAATCTCCATCTTGCGAGTAACATTGGAGTACCTGCGTGGTTGTGGAGTGGGAATGGGAATGGATGCATGCTGCTCAGTAGTCTTACGCCTGTGCTCCATACCGTGCACAACTCCGTCGTTGATTTGGTTTTCCGCGCAACCGGATTATTATTATTATTATTATTATTATTATTCCATTAGAGTCTATCTGCAGTCAGTGACTATGTAAGACTTTGGCCAGAGGCCGTTCTAGGTACAATTTGTTTAAAGTGAGAGTGTTCTCTGTATAGTACTGCTATTGTGCTGCGGTTTAGTCGCTTCTAGCTGCGCTTAAAGCAGACTCCAGTTGCTGAAGAGCAGTTTAGTAAACAGGAAGAGATGTTAGACAGCAGGGCTGTCTTCCAGCGAGCTCTTTTAGGGCTAAGGAAAGTAACTTAAGAAAGTTTGTTAGTTATTATTGGTTTTAGGTAACGTATGTGGCAAGCGAGCGCCGCAGGCAAGCGAGCGCCGCACCCCACCAAACCTGCGCACCTCTATAAGCCTGTAGTTCCACCACAATATAGTTGTTTTACTACATATTAACATAATAGATTAAGCAGTACCTAGAGTATCTTTCTTGCACGTACGCGAGTTATGGCCAGTCTCTCTGCACCTACTACAGCGCGCCAAAGCCT